AGCCTTTTCCTCCCTTAGAGCTCTTTGCTCCTTTCATGCCCCTCGGCTTCATGCTACCATACGTTCCCCCGAGAAGTCTCTCGAAGTCAGCATCAGCCTCAATGAGGTCGATGTTTACCATCTCCTCCGTAGTGGTGCCGCTCACGGCAGCAACAGCGAGAGACGCAGCGAGCACTGAATATTTAGTCAACTGAACCATCTTAAAGAGTGCAGAWGTRCAAGTAAAAGTATTGTGAATTTCAATTTGTGGAAGGTAGGCAATAGATCCGATTCGTTGCGGACAGTTTTATTTACGTAAGAAATAGTGTTCCCRAATCGATGATTCTTCGAGAGTCTACCGAACGTACAGAAAACTCTACAACCACTTTTGTGACATTCAAATTTGGAAAGACTGGTCTGGTGCACGAGTTTGAACATGATAACTGAATCGCCCTGAAAMGCTTGCGCGTCCTAGAATTTTGGTACTATGGATAAGTAACGGACAGATCTAAATCAAATAAGATTCAAATGCATGACCGTTGAAAAGGGTGTGACGGATGCACATCTAAATCTTGCCAGTAAAACTGTACGAAAAAATAAACGCCAGCCAACCTTTCTGTTGATTTTAAATCTCGAGTGTGAAAATACGTTACGGCGTACTCATACGCAGGGGTCATAATTTAGAGGGGTGCGCATCGCGTCGAAACTCACATTCCACGTGTGGTCCAAATTTCCGAAAAGTCCAAGGATTTTTTTTCATTCTCATTTTTACTCCATAATACTAGTAAAACTATCCAACCTTTAAGCAGTTACAGCTTTATCAAAAATACTACTATTTTAATTTTTGAGTAGCCAGTCTAGTCCAGTTTTTAATGCTGATTCTGAATATACCATTTTGTAGGATATTAAATTGATATTTGTGGTACTATTTTACTATTGAAAAATGAACATAATTTCCATACTAGTAGTACTACTACTAGTAGTATTACTAGTATGATTAGTAGTAGTACTAGTATTAGTACTCGTACTACTAGTAGCTGCTGGTACTAGTACTAAAAACTGGACTTGCAACGTACCGATGAATCGTTACGTACGATACGAAGCTCCGAAGAAAGGAATGAAGGATCATACCATTCCTACGTACCTATCGTAAGGTACTTTTCCTATGTATGTATCATAGGATCCAATATAAAGAAATCCGTGGATCGTAAGAGGTCTACGATATCAGAAATAGAATACCTCRCACGGAACAAAGACGTCAGTAGATCAGAATAATAAGAACCCTGTGTAGATTTAGTACCGAGAGCTACACAGGATCTAATCAGGTCTACTGAAAGCTCACGTCGGAGCGCGAGAATCTTAATCTTATAATTTCAATTTTCATACACACTTAACACCTACTACTAAGAGTACACGTAATCTCGTGCAGGACTAGATAACAGATCTACTAACAAGAGACATTAAGAATACGCACAGGTTGTTGAAGTGCTAAATATCTGGATCAATTTCACAGAGCATACAATTGTTTGAGCAGCATGATGGTTCTATCAATCCATTCGACAACAAAATTATTGCCATTCCAATCCATCATAACACCAATGATACAACATTTCTTGACATTATTAGTATTATTATTATTAGTAGTAGTACACTGTAACTTGGAAAAAACACTTTTCTTCATCGCAATGGTACAGAACTCAAACTTATCATTTTGAATACCAGGAGGACTAGCACTAGTACAAATTTTTTCTCATGATTAATGCAGTAGTAGGAGGACAAACAATATCAAAGCACCATTCACAAGCTTGAAGAAATATGACAGCTCTTGGTGATGATGACATGAAATAAGAAGAATCCAAATATCCTTGCTCATTATGGTTGTCATACATACAACTAATGTAAATCAACAAATGCAATTAAAGAGCCCCCACAATTTGAACCACTACTCTCAAGATCAAAACAAACAACTAAAGTAACTTTTTCTTATTGAAGATCATCATGAATAATGCTTCAAGCTGTGTAGAAGTACTGGTAACAGTTGGTGCTGTACTTCTTTTGTTGGATAATTTTGTACTACTACTAGCATTGTTGCTGGTAGAACCTTGTACTATCTGATAGAAGTGTACAAGCTTCCTGACAGATCAGTTACATTGTCACTTTGGGTTCACTACAACTAGTATCTTCTTGGGAAAACACACCTGTTCCAGTAGGTGCTGCTGGCCTCTTTGTAGGGCTTGCGGTGAGATTTAATTCTGGTGAAGATAATCCAGTTTATCCTGATGAAGAAGATCATCAGAGGAGCTTGTTGTGGCATCTTGAGAAATACTTCCAGACAATTTTCAGTACCATCACTGGCAAAACTGCTATCATTGCTAGAAGTAGTRCTACTAATAATACAATTCATCATTATTCACCTGTCAGAATGGGATATTTTTATTGTATTCAACCTTACAATGTTTGTCATGGATTGATCTTTTTTGTTCTTACTACTAGGAGCCTTTTTCAATTATGCAGTACTTGTGCGAACATACTTTCTATGTTCTATCTCTAGATTGAAAGAATCATTATTGTTTGCAATAAAATTGATCCAGAAATAGTAGTACTAGAAGTGATGATCATGGTGGCAGGAGTTCTATTAGAAGAGAAGCAAGAGCAGAAATAGTAAAAAATACATCACGTAATAGTACCACTTTACTGTASTTTATCTTTCTTCTTGTTGTCTCAAAAATAGAAAACAAGTGTGCTAGACTGCTGTAGTCATAAAATGAAGTGTAATTCTGAGTATAGTACTACTACCAGCAGTATCTCTTCTTCTCAAAGCAGGTTGTTCTTTCCTTTTACTAGTACTAGTACAATTGACCAAGAAGCAAGAGGATCATACATCAAGGGGCTTGCTGGCTTGCTGACTAAAGGACTGACTATCAAATAGACATGGCCACCACATGTATGCACCAGTCTGTATGCACCAGTCTTCTTACATTTTGGGCCCTTATGTTTCCATATAATGACTACTTTGACTTAAAAATTAAATACATACAAAATCCATGTGCTCAGTTGTACTACTTGAATTTTTTAATCCCACAAGTGTGCGACCAAATAGTTTCACACACGTGCTCAATTGACAATTTTGACTTCAAACACATGCAAATTGCTTWGTCAAAGTAGTCATTAGTACACAGKAAAAAGATAGCCCAAAATCCAAACATAGTTCAAAAAGCATGTATGGCATTAAGTGACAGCCAACTCACTCAAACAGCTATCGTATAGGCTGGGCCAAGCAAAAAAACACGGTTACATTAGCAATTCAAGATATACGTATACGTATATCGATGAATATTCGTCGGATGCCGTACTCCCCCACGCCATTAGAAAGCTCTTTGAATTCTCTTTTCAACCATGTGCTTATCCTACTTAAGCGTCCGTTGGGGAAAAAGTTATTGCCCAAACTGTCAGTTCAAGACTAAAACAGTTATACGGTTAAATTATTCATGTGCGTGGATTAGCGGCCATCTAATTATCCACTCAATGGATTTGAGTCCCACAATGGTAAAGCAAAAAACTATTTTGCACGTGCGCRAAACTATTTGGTCGCATGAATGTAGGATTCAAAAATTTAGCACGTGCCCGCTGTACACTGCAGTACAAGCCAATTTTTAATCCCGCCAGTCATTACACAGGAAAAAGATGGCCACAAATACAAGGTTATAACCGTACATTGGCTGGCCAATGCTATACAATAACTTTGTCCCCAATGGACACTTAACGATAATAAGCACATGAATCAAATCCCAGTTTAAACACAATTCTAGTCATATGGTGGGGGAGTTGGGGGGTCCTAGTAGTGGAAGATATTGGTATGTGTATGAATATAGGATTAAAAATGTACAATTAAATTGGCCAGAAAAAGTAGTCACGCCTATACAATGTTGTGTTCTTACTCACCAAAAAGTACTGTACCACCACATACTACTACTAATAGTAGTATGCTACTGGTGGTACTACAAGGGTGATCATATGGCAGTAGTGTTAGTAATAGTAGTAGKATTTGCTTAGTATGATGAAGTTAAGGTCACATCATAGTGTTGCTAACTAGTAGTACTACTAGTAGTAGCAGTACTAGTAGTAGTACTAGTATGCAGCATGCAATATCACCAGAATAGAAGAATGTACTACTAAAAAATTCAAACATATCTAGGATTCATCTCCATGCAATATTAAGTTGAGTTACTCTAGTCCAAATGTCATGCAGTATCAAACATGAATATTCCCAGTATTCCAGGAGTATTATTGTGGACTACTGCTACATCAGACTACTGCTACTACTAGTGATAACAGTAAAACAGAAGCCATTACTAATATTTTGATGTGGTGGTGACAAAATGCACAATAATAGAAGACCATATTAGTACTAGTAGTACTAGTAGCAGTGGTAGGCGTCAGCAAAAAAATTGATAGAACATAAGAATTGKAATACTAGTCTATTGTAACCAAGAATTGATTTTAGTACTGGTTCTACTCCTACTAGTACTAGCACTACTATGATGTCTGGTCCTCATCTCCTGCAACAAAYATTGTACTGGCATGGGGGAGTACTTCATGATTTGATGGAATGTAACTGAGCATCATGCAGTATGATAATCAATTAAAGAATAGCAGAACATAAATGAAGGTAGACCTGTGTGGTTTGCATTACTACCTAGAACAAGGATCAGTAGTATTGTGAATAAAATTAATGGAAGGAATAGATTCTTGTGGTTTGTAGTGAGTACTAGTACAAGCAATTCGAAGCCTTCAAATTTGCAGTTGAGATTATAAAAATACCAATTTTAACATCCTTAAAACAAGAAGTTATGAAATCTTAGAAAAGAAAAAAGAACTAAAATGAGAAGAATTGCAATCATGAGGATACATTTAATATTTTTTGTGGTGCCTGTTTCCTACAGCAGGTGCTCCTCCTTCTTTTTGTCCCCCAAAGGCTTCCTCCAAGTAACAGCACTTCTAATTGTTATTATCTGTCTTTCTTTCTCTCTGTCCTCTCATCATTTTTWGTTCTATATTACAGTACCACCACTTCTAGCAAAAAAAAATATTGATATTATGTTGTAGCTTGTGAACTAGGAGAGRCACTATGTTGGCCAGAACCACAACTTCTTGGAAGAGAAAAATGTTCTTAGCTGCTCCAAGGGGCGGTGGCTCCCTCCGAGGAGTGTTTGTGGAGGCATGATCAGAACCACCACTTCTACTAGCATTTAGAGTAGAATACTACTTATAATATACTTCTTATTACCAGTAGTACTAGTAGTATCAAGAGGGTTGTACTACAATGCAGTTACATACAGTTAGTAGGAACAACAACAGGTGCAGGCTCACAGGGAAGATTTTATCAATATTACCCCCCAATTGATTTCTCAAGGAGGCAAGAATGGAATGTTGCATTTGAAAATAGAGGTTGAATATGTGTAGGCACTTTCACTTAGACTTACTTTTAGTACCTCAATCTTGTCCCTACTACTAGTAACATTTTCCTTGTGCAAGTAAAAATCAAATTAATGAGAATGGATAAAAGGTGAAATTATGTTATGTTCAATAAGTTATTGTATACTTTTAGGCTTGCTATGAAAAGCATCATAATGTGCTTGTCATGAGAACCCCTTTATGAACAGTGAATTGTTCAAATCAGAACTTCATGCATGTGTACTAGTATTAATAATCTGTCTTGCTGYTATTCTAGCTCGCATCCATGAAGAATCACGTCACTCTTTACTAATTTCGCTTTGTMCASGGTACGAAGACAACTTCAGAGAAGTAGAAATGATTGTTGAATACCATGATAGAAAGCTGCGATTTTTYCTAGACACACACAGAGGGAAAGAGTTTAATACACGTGTTAATTTCGTGGAAGGAGGAACCATGTCGATACTCTTTGTAACTACCGCTTTTCTATGTSCATGCTGTTGTGTTTTTTTTTTCTTTTTATTCTTGGTTCGAACAATTTTCGTTACACGTGACGACAGAATTCAACCACAACCTCATCAACAATGAACCAATACAATTTWGTTTCTCCTGTCTAGAATTGCATTAGCCGGTAGAGTTGAACTTCGTTGGCGAAGAATAATTTCACCTCACACATCACTACTTCAGAATTCATTTTTTCGGAAGGCTTCGCAAAATACTCATTTGAACCTCATCGAGAAGCTCTCTTCGAATTTCTTGTTCCGTCTGTTGCCTATTCTCCGCCAATGCAGTCTTCATCTGTGCCAAAAGCAATCCCATTTCGGCATATTGTTGCCCCATTTCACTGTGTTGTTTCTCGAACCGTGMAATCAACTCCTGTATTGAAGGAGCCGAACCCCCTGAGACTTTTTGTGGAGCTTGGCTCACGACAGAATCAGTACCATCAGTAATATTTGTTGCTCCTTTCGTTTTATCTGGTTGTGAGTGGCGGTTCTGTCTAGAAGATGCTGATGGAAATTTATTGTCTTCGTCAGATCTTGCTCCCTTTTTTTCATTTTTTGGCTGACGATATGACGGGTTTGGCTCAACCTGAGTAACCCTTGACGAGGATCTTAGTYTTCGCTCATTCATAAGGACATGGTCTAAATCGTTAGATGATTTCCCCCGCTTCCGTTTCCCAACAGAGGTATCGTGACTATACTGTCGACGATGATTGAAKCTGTGCGCCCCTTTCGATTTTGTTCCCGACGAAGAATTTGAACCAGACGCCGTTGTGTGGGTCGAACCAACGCCATCCGGGATTGGCATTTTCCTCTTCTTTCTGTTCGTCGCGGCAGCAGTAGTATGTGTACCTGCTGCAGCAGATATTTGACCGTAATGACTCGACGTAGCCGCTTCCGCCAAATGGTATTCCATGATATCTAGACATTTCGTTAATTTGTCCATCATCACAGATTCCAGTTTCCGTTKCCCGAAGATTACAAAACAGGTATGTGCTCTGGCCACAAAAACAGCGCACTTGAAACAATTGCGTTTGTTCGTTTTGAATTTGTAATTCTTTTCGGTCTCCCTCACCTGTGATACGAGCGAGGCAATAATCAACCGTGGGAATGAATACAGCAAGCATAGAGCAGAAARGGGTGAAGACAATGCAAGGAGTTGACCAGTTTTTCAGGAAAGAAACAAACTCGCACAACCGAAACACTTCGAACCATATACAAGGTGGCCTTGCCTATACCTACCAATTTGTATTTCTCACTCCATCCCCAAAGGTCTAGTGCCTCATTGACTGACTTACAAACCTTCAAGTCCCGACACATCCCCGACAGCAATAATGGGTTAGCCTTGACGAAACGAGTTGGCGCCAAGACCAGTAACAACAAGTGATTTGGTATGATCCCAACAGGATTCCCGTGAATTGTSCCCTTTGTCCAGTTTTGGCTGTAGAGCATTCCTGACTTTTCCACAAGCGTGCAGGCCTTTTTCAAACATTCTGCGTTGCCTTGACCAAATATTTGGATGGTTCGTGGGCTCGTTTCGGAGTCTTCTAGCAACATATCCCTCATTTCCTGAAAGAGAGCYTCTCCAAATTCGGCACACCCCTCCGGCTCGTATGGCGATATCTCGATTATATCCATATAAAGTTCGTCTTCGTCGAACGAATCTCCTGTATTGTCCGTACTGTGATTATTTATGTTCTTTCTAGTATTTCTCAGAGACCCCCGAGTTCCAGTACTATCAGACATCTTTGGTAATTTCATTCTTGTGTTCGCAGCTTTCTGCTTTTGGTATTTGTTAGTTACCATGCCCTGGATAGGAACTGTCTTCACCTGAACACTTGCCAAATGAGAAACCTTCACAAATTCGTTGTCTCCACCCTTTTCTACAACCGGTGCCGGACTCAAAACTTCATGATTTGTCGATACTTCRTCAAAGGATGGACTWTGCTGTTGCATTGCATTGTTGCCATCATGCGCTTTTCCATAACTTCCGCTGTCACTATCGCTTGCGCTGCTGTCGTTGTCGTTGTTATCAAGACTTGATGACACAGCTAGTTCTTCGAAGCTTTCCTCTTCTTGGAGTTCCTCGTCCATCTTGAGATCCGACGTTTCCTTTTCCTTTTCGCGGTGAAACACCTCTGTTTGCGAACTCTCTTCTAGCGGACTCATTTGCGGTGTACTGATTGAAGTCGAGCAAACGAATGCCCAGATGTGCTAGATAGATACTGTATTTCAGAAGAGCTCTGCTGATGACAGAGAGTTGCGTACGGGTACCTTACGGTACCAGGTACGGTATGATGTTTCTTACTCTTACAGTATGATCAATACCCCAACCCAAAATAGGTACCGTACCAGTCTACGTACGTACCGTATGGTATCTACCCTACCAGTACGAGTACCTGAGCACTCCGCACGTACTCGTACCTGACAGGAGTTTGGAGTTAGGCACTTGTGAWTGTGACACGAAACAGGTGGATTGGACTCCGAGAAATTGAACTGAATTTTCCTACTGTATTGGTTGATACCGTAGAGGTTTTATGAACAATGATCGAAGGTGCAAAAGGTTCGCCAAGTCCAGTAGATGTTGGACGTTTGGTTGAATTTGGTTGAAGCTGTTCTCAAAGGAAAACATGACACGTGGAACATATTCCTTATTTCTTACTTTAGTACTGTGCTTCCTCCGTCCCCAAACACATGTCCGGAATGCACCTTCTCTGTTGAAATAAGCTCAAAAATGGTTCTTTTGTATTCTATWGATCTTGTTTAATACTATTCAAATGTGTTATGTCTTTTAATATCATAAAAGAACTAATTAAGTTATATGCCTTAAAAACAGAACAATTTTTGCATATGAATAAGTATTCATCTGAAAAAAATGCCTTGATGATGGTGGCATCATGCAACAAGAGGATGCATTCACTTTTTGTGACCCAGGTTGAAAGGGTTCCAATGGTCATTTTGATATGCCGCTACTTTCACATGATAGCCAAGATAAAGTTATATTTCAGGCTATATTCCATATTTGTAGTATAGCTTGTTGCTGTTTTACATAGGTTATTTGTACTAGTACTAGTCAAAAGAGGAGTTGTAGTATTGGGGGGCAGGGGACAAGTACTAAGGAAACAATTTGACAACAAGACATAACAAGGAACAAATACACCAACCTGGCAATGGGCCTTGTGACAAGTGAAGCAAGGACACATCCAAGCAAGATTAAAGCATCAAGGAAAGCAACACGTCCAGTCCAAGCAAAGCAACCAAACAACATGTCAAAGCAACAACAACATGTCCAGTCCAAGCAATGCATTGAAGCAAAGAAAAGACTGCTGAATCAATCAGCTGCAACAACTGATAGTGCTAGTATCAGAGAATTGATCACAATAGTATCCACTCATCTCAACAACACATGGCCCCCTTGTCTTTCATGCTTGTGAAGTTGCTTGAGGATATCTGTTACAGTCTTCTCCTGTCTGTACACATCAAGTTCTGTCTTGATTGCATCATGAGCAGGCCCTGCTCAGTTCTTTGTCAATCTGTCAATACATAAGAACCAAAGAAATGGCTTCCTTCTACAGTATATGAACTTCTTGTTTCCCTTCAAATTTTTCTCAGCTGCAGTGAATAGCTTTGCTGGTTTGTTACCAGCAAATCCAGATTCCCATTCATTCCATATCACATAAAAGTTTCCTGTTTGTATTGGAAGGATTGCTTTCTGCCCCTCAAACTCAGTGTCAGCCACTTGCCTCACTTTCTCTGGGCTACTGGAGCCATCACAGCTCTATTGCATACAACAGTCTTCTGCAGTCTCTTGTGCCTTTGCTTTTGTGAAGCAAATTCTTTTATCAGCAAAATTTCCATTTTGGACATCCTTGTCTGCAAATCATGCATCTTTGCATACATCACATTCATCCATTCCTGATGGGATCTTCTCATTCCCATTGCACTGTTTTCATCACCAAAAGGCCTGTTTCCAGAAGCAGCAGCAGCACCTTGTTCACCATCCAGCTCTGGTTCAAACCTGTCCACCTAATTCACTTGGAATCATTTCAACCCTCTGGTGAATAGGGTTTGCGCCATTATCAACAGGAATCATGACCATTTGTATGCACTCTGGTGGTATTGAGCCAAATAACAGAGGCCATCACATGCCTTCTCATATCGTCTGGAACAACACCAACCATAGCAGGTCCAATGGATGCCCAGAGCAATGCCTTTCCTAGAATAACTCAAACCTCACCATCAAAAGCACTTGTTGGAACATTWGGAGTAACAGATTCAGTAATCCATTTAGTTGCAACCCCTGGCCCTTCCACTGGCTTGTACAAACACTGCAATAACACAAATGGCTTGCAACGTTGATATCAGGCCACAACAGCTGCGTATCTGTGTATCAATCTTGTTGCCTTCAAATTCCCTTCAATCTACACTACTAGTAGCTCTGTAATCAACATGATCCTCAGGAAGCCCAGCATGTCTGCATATTGATACTGCATGCTTTCCAATAGAATGGGTACCCAACCTAGTACCTGGTTTTTCCTTGTTGAATCRAGGATTTTCCACACACAAGTAGTTAGAAATCTAGGGTACTGCTGTTTTCCTCTATCAACTTCTCTCTTGATTGTCCTCATAGTAGGGGATTTTTTACAGCTAAATCCTTCAGTGAAGAGCCACTGACTTACAGCTCCTTCWCCATTATAGCACCATTTCTCCAAAAATAATGCTTTAGCAAGGACAGCACATGCATTTTCATTCATAGAGCCCATAATTATCTGATCARGACAGTCTTCATTTTGAGTGTTAGAAACTCAGGGAACTGAGGGCAACCCTTAAAAWGAATCTTGAGTGATATGAGTCATTTCATCATGACRTTCCATGAAGTGCATCTGGGTCAATATCATTGCAAGAAATCTCTTCTTATCAATGACAGTAACACCATTCTGTGATATAAGCTCTACTGCCTGGAAATTCATTTTTTGCTAGTGGCCCATCCATTTTTGTTTCCACACCAAGCCCTCTATTCTCACTCAACTTCACTGCTGCAATAAGATTATTCACCTCTGGAGACTGAGTAGGATTTCTGTGRCCAAYACCCTGGATTATAGTCCATTTGATAGTCTTGTTGGGGAGATAATATGATATTCCCTTGTTTGCTTAMGCAATAGTAGTAGACCTTCCAAATACATGATTATCTTYGGGACCTGAATCCTCTTTCCTATAACACTTCAGTGCCAAAAATTGATAGACATGCTTGGGGGAAGAATTCCAAACAAGTCATCATCACTTAACATATGATCCCAAGGGAATCRTGTATCAGCAGCAGTCCATGGCACATCAAAATATCCATCTCTCCTCCCATGTACAAGATCCATGAAATCAAGGAAATATTTGAGATATCTCTTCCACTGATCAGGAATATTTACTCCTGATGATGGGGGGTAGGAGGCCCTTGTGGTCTTGGTCTTTCTATTGTGCTACTGGTTGTGTTATCATTTTCAGCTCCATACTAGGCCTCATTACTAACACTAGCCCCAGWATATCCTCCTCCTCATTTTGTTTCTGTTGCCTAAAACAACAACAAGCTACAAGTGCTATATTATTTGCTTCCACAAGGYCTCCTACACCAAGCTCTGATAGGCCTCTATCTCCACCAGCATCTTCCCCACTGGCTTCATTGTTGACAACTGCTCCTTGGACTGTTCCTCCTGTATCCTTGGTGTCCACCGCGTCCAGCAGCTCTTGTTTCTCTGCATCCACGTCCAGCCACTCCTCTGTGTTGCATCCAAATCCTCTGCTGTGTCTACTAATAACTCCTCTGCGTCTGTAGCCTCCTTGTCCTGCTGCAGCTGCTTCAAGAAGTTCTGAAAGTTTCTTGGGCTTGCCGCTACTGTTGTGGTGGTTGGTGTTGTTGCTGCAGGGGGGGCTGCTGTGCTCATGCAGGTGCTGGTGATGGAGGTGCCATTGTTAGTTGTATGGATATGTCAAAAAAAACTTCTTGAGTTTCAAATGTGTAGGGACAAACAAATATGTACACTTTGCACATTGATTGAGGAGGTGAATGATTTGTGGTTGAAAATCTTTGCAATACACAGTAAACTCAACACATAAAATTGCACCTCAGAGGCTAATTCTCATTTTTACTGCATAAGATAACTGAAATTAAATGTACTACTAGTAGTCATATCTTTATCAAAAATACCACTATTATAATTTTCCACTTGCACCACTAGTACTAGTATAGTAGTTCCCACAAGAGGATTCTGAATATGCCAATATTTTCTGTAGCAAATGGAAATTTGGTGTACCCATTTACTACCTCTGAAAGTTTCAAGGTTAATAATAAAAAACACCAAAAAGAAGTTTCTGGTTAAAGCTGACAATCCRAATGSAAAAATGATACAGTTACAAAAAATAGACATCAATCTAACACCAATTCTGACCAAAGGAGCAATTCTGACCAAGTTACTACAATTTTAAGCTGAATTTTTTCAAGGAGCAAGACCTGATGAAGGACAGACTATTACTGTGGTATTATTAGAAGTAAAATTGGAAATCCACCATGCAGTACTGAAAATATTGTAATATGCAGAGTCTTCTTGAAAAAATGGTATTGAAACTACAGTGCTGAAAAATGATATCAGTGGTATTTTTTGTAAAGTCATGACTAATACTTGTTCTAAGTTGTTTGATAGTTTTAGTACTACTAGTAGTAGCAGTGTTATGCAGTAAATATGAGAACTTGAAAAAACCTGGGGTGAAATTTTTCTTACTTCTGCCAAGAATGGAATGGAAGTTTTGCAAAAACTGCTCCAAAAGGTGATTTTGCTATGCAGCCCTCCTCCTAAATTTATGACCCCTGCTTGTACCCCTGTAATGAAAAGTATACTCCTTACTACTACTAGTAGTGCTATTGCCAGTAGTACTAATGTTAATATAGTGCTAATACTRGTGGTAGTTGTGGTAGGATGTTCAAACTTTGCATTCTTTAACAGGCAGATGCTAAATGTACTAGTAGACTGATGGTGACAACTTTTCTACTCCTAGTAGTAAATTTAGAAAATTTGAAGAGACCATCACCAACAGGAGAACTAGTACTCATCCTTGTCCTCCTCCTGGTGCTGCTGAGGATGATAACAAGTCTTGAGTCCCTCCTAAATGAAATCACATGGCAAYCAACTTATA